CACACACACACACCTTTTTTTTTAACTTAATTTTTTGTAAAAGGCAGTTAATAGTTACATCTGCTAGATACGTGCTTGTGATTGCGCCTGGCCCGAATCTATAGCTATGATCACACGAAATAATTCTAAGAAATTGTTGGTGTTTGATATTTTCTTTTTAAAGTTTTGGTCAATAACAACAATAATAATAGACTCAGTATAATCTTATAAACGGAGTTTGAAGATAATAGTAAATAATAATATATAAATAGATTTTATCCCTATCTTATAAAAATAGAGAGTCTGTTTCGAAGATAGTCCACTCAAAGATTTTTAAAGTTTTGGTCATTGAGGGTGAAGAGTGAGAGGACGGGTTTGAGATTCGTGATTTGCATATTGGGGAGCTTTGAATTTTGAATCTTTGAAACAACCCACAAACAAGAGAACACAACCCCCCCCCCCCTCCCCCACACAAAATATGATTGAGATCTCTTCGCCTTTAATTGAAAATTTTAGGTTCGAGTCTTAAAAAGAAAATCTTTCGATAGAGAACGCTTTATCTCCCAGTGAACTTATACTATGATAAATCGAATTAATCAAAGTAGTAAACTTTAAGTACAGGAATATAATTAAGGGTAATCAGATATATAAAGCATCCCGCGTTCATGCAAGGTCCAAATAAGGACCGTACCCCAAGGGGGATATGATGTAGACAGCCTATATTAATGCAAGCATCAGTGGCTGATTCCACGATTCGAACCCGAAACCTATAGGTCACACAAACACAATTTTAATGCTACTCCAAACTCCCTTCAAAGATAGGATTAAACTTAAGAAAAAGAAATCCCACCACACCCCACATGTACACACTGGTGATGTTGCTTCTACCTTACCTCATTGAAGGAGATTGGAGTAAAGCATATGATCATATTTATGCAATGCTAGCTCCTTTCTTGTGACTGCCATTATTCCTATTATATGTATATATCACCTCACAAAGGAGGACAATAATAAAGTACTTTGTATTGTTTGGTTCATATATTATTAAACACCCCCACCTTCTTCCCCTGACATTTTCATTTAATTAATATCTACCACTCCTTCCTCTTTCTCCTACTCCATAATATAGTACTTAGATCTGTATTTCTAAATTTTTTTTTCAACCTTATATCTACAACAAAGCCTGACAAGTTCATTTAACACGATGCATGAGTACACACATTGTCCAACCCCAATAATTTTCTCCACTTATAATTATAATTTTTTCCTGTAATTGTTACTACTTTTTATGTAAATCAGAAAAAAGATCTTTCGGAAAAGAAAAAAGAAGTATTAC